ATTCTTTTTTATTAATTTTTATTGGAGTATAGTTGCTTTACAATGTTGTGTTAGTTTCTGCTGCACAGCAAAGTGAATCAGCTATACGTATACATATATCCCCTCTTTTTTGGATTTCCTTCCCACTTAGGTCACCACAGAGCATTGAGTAGAGGTCCCTATGCTATACAGTAGGTTCTCATTAGTTATCTATTTTATACATAGTATCAATAGTGTATATATGTCAATCCCAATCTCCCAATTCATCCCACACACCTCCCCCCCTTTCCCTTTTGTATCCATACATTTGTCCTCTGTGTCTTTGTCCTTTGCAAATAAGATCATATACGAATTAGTTTTCTGTTGCTGCAAACTCGGTGGCTTAAAACTACACACATTTTTTATCTTTCACTTCTGGAAGCCAGAAGTGTGAAACAGGTTTCACTGGGCCAATACTAAGTTGTAGTCAGAGCCGTAGTCCTTCCAGAGGCTCTTGGGGAGAATCTGTTTCCTCACCTTTTCCAGCTTCTAGAGCTGCATTTGTTGCATGGCTTGGTCCCTTCTTCCATCTTCAAGGCCAACAGTGTAGCATCTTCTCTGCTCCATCTTCACATCATCTTCTCTCTCCTGTGTTAAATCTCCCTCTGCCTTCTTCTTTAAGGACACTTGTTATTACATTAGGGCCCACCTAAGTCATCCAGAATAATCTCAAGATCCTTACTTTAATCACATCTGCAAAGTCTCTTTTGCCACATAAATAACATTCACAGGTTCCAGGGATTAGGACCTCGGTGTTTTGGGGGCCCATTATTTAACCTACCAAAGGAGGCTTGGACCAGGGTAGAAGTGATGGAAATGGTGAGAAATGAGCAGATTCTGGGATTTGTTTTGAAGGCCAAACCAATTGGGTTGCTTTATAGATTGAATGTGAGATGTGAGAGAAAGAGAGGAATCAAGGAAAGCACCAAGGCTTTGGCCCGAGCAGTTGTAGGAAGAGAGTTTACATTTACTAAAATGAGAAAGACTACAGGAAAAGAATCTTGGTGCCTGTAGGATGATGGTGGACGGGATTGACTGATTGATTGATTGATGTCAGAGAGTTCAGGGGCTCGTGGACATATTATTTAGGTTTGAGATGCCTCATCCAAGTGGGCATGCTGAAGAGACTGCTGGATGTATGAGTCTGAAGTTCAGGAGAGGAGTCTACGCTGGAGATATAAATTTGGGAGCCTTCCATGTGTCTTTAAAGCTTTGAAATTGAATGAAATCATTAAAGTTGCAAGTGTAGATAGAAAAGAAAAGAGCTCCAAGGACTGAGCCTGGGGGACTCCAGTCATTCGAGATCGGGGAGATGAGAAGGAACAGCACAGGGAGACCACAAAAGAGCAGCCAGCGAGGTAGAAGGACGACCAGGAGAGGGTGGATCTTGGAGGCCACATGAAGACAGGAGACAAGGATAGGGGTGGGGGTGGGCAGGGCAGCTAAGCTCCCGGAGGGAGATCGGTACCTGTGGCATGAGGGCACACCTCACCAACTCTAGCACCCGGCACCTCCTAGCACCCCAAAACACACACACACAAACACCTTCTGGCATGAAAATCAAGCCCATGTCCTCAGGTCTGGCCAAAAGAGCAGAAAAGGTCTGCATTCTCTGGTCCAAACCCCTGCAGAGATGCCACTTGGATGTGGTAAAGCTGTGTGTCTTGTCTGGTAGACCCATCTCCTTCACCCCATCTGTGATTCCCAGAGGGCAAATCTGTCACCTGTTTCTGGAAGAGGAATTCCATCTCAAGCATCAAGGTCTCCATCTGCTTGCCACCCATTGAGCAGCCTGCATTGTTACTGATTGGGTGCTCAGATCATTAGTTCCTGAGTAGAAAGCAGCAGCTGCACTAATGTCACAGGTAGGGCTGTTCCCCATGAGGCCTGACTGCCATTCTGAACCGTTGTTTTAATGCTTTAAACTAGAATGCTCACTATATATATATATATATATATATATATATATATATATATGCGCTTTATTTATTTTTATTTTTGGCTGCGTTGGGTCTTTGTTGCTACGTGCAGGCTTTCTCTAGTTGCGGTGAGCGGGGGCTACTCTTCGTTGCGGTGCGTGGGCTTCTCATTGCAGTGGCTTCTCTTGTTGCGGAGCATGGGCTCTAGGTGCATGGGCTTCAGTACTTGTGGCTCGTGGGCTCAGTAGTTGTGACTCACGGGCTGTAGAGCTCAGGCTCAGTAATTGTGGCACACGGGCTCAGTTGCTCCACGGCATGTGGGATCTTCCTGAACCAGGGCTCGAACCCGTGTCGCCTGCATTAGCAGGCGGACTCTTAACCTCTGCACCGCCAGGGAAGTCCTAGAATGCTCACTTTTAAATAGCCCTGTTATTTCACGCATCATACATGAAACGTCCATCAGATCCTCAGAATCAAATTGAATTCAAATCCTATGTTATACAATCAACACCAGATATCTTGAAACACCTACCTACATAGCCAGGCAGTTGAGGAATCTCCATGTATACCAGCTTGGATGGATTCTCTTCTCTTCCCTTCCTTTCCCCTCCCCTTCCCTTTCCGTCTCTTGTCTTTTCTCCTCCCTTCTCTTTTCTATCTCTTTCCCTACCCTAATAATTCCCCTCACGTTTTAATTCAGTACTTAGATCACTGGTTCTCAAACTTGGTTGCATATTGGAATTAAAACCTAGAGAATTAAAAAAAAAAAAAAAAAAACTAATGCCTGGGCCCCATTCCCAGAGATTCTGATTTAGTTGATCTTGGGTGTTAGCTGGGCTTTGAGGGTTTTTTAAGGTCCTCAGGTGATTCTAATGTGCAGCCAAGTTTGAGAACCAGCGTCTTCAATTACCTTCTAAGTAGTGAGTCCCAGTGCAATATTTTAAATGCTATGGCAGGAGAGGCTGGATCTACCTCCAACTCCCTGCCCTGCCTCTCCCTAGCATTCCTGGTTTATGGGAGAAAGACTTGGGGCCAGTTTACCAGATCTGAACATCACCAGTAGATGCAGTATGTTGTGTAATGCTCTGTATCTTCCAAATAGCACGATCCAATGTGGGCTCAGATATTGTACACCCAGCTTTTAATTTCTCTCCACAACTTCCCTCCTATGGCACCTTCAGCCAAGTTTTCATTGCAGCTCTAGCTCCAGGTGTAAGCGATGGGAGAAATAGGGTGAAGGTGGATGGAAATAGCCAAGGGCACACAGGTGCACACAGTGCAGGCACACACACGCATAATCGGTGAATCAGACTTAGAAGTGGAATTCTGCTGGTACAGAAATCCTCTGATAGAGAAGAAGCGGCTGTAGTGCTCTATAATGTCTGCCTTTGTGGCACTCGGTTGGAGAATTATGAGAAAAAAACTGTTTTTTTTTGCCCCAAAGCAGGTCTTGCCCAATGAGCTGCATGCTCAGAAGAAACCTGCCTGTCCCCTTCTCCCTCCATCTGGGATCCTTAATTGGCAAGATCTAAACCGTAATGTGCCCAGTCTAGATCCAAGTCTATTAAATGCCATAACTCTCAGGCTCTTTGAAAAGAAGAATTCCATGGCCTTCAAGAAAGCAGCTTGGTAATAAGTCTCAAGAACTTGAAATATGTCCAGTTCATATCCTTACATCCAATGATTTTACTTCCTATCCTAAGAAAATAATCAAAGATGTGGAAAAAGGTTTATGTATACAGATCTTCAACAAAGTGTTATTATAACTGCAAAAATCAGAAGTAACTGTACACTGTCTATAACACAAATTCCATTTAATATATCATGCTATATCACAGTATAGTCAGGCAATGAAATATACAGACTGTCAAAACACATTTTCAATTTTTTTTTTTTTTTTTTTTTGGCTGAGTTGGGTCTTTGTTGCTGCACGCAGGCTTTCTTTGGTTGCAGTGAGCAGGTGCTACTCTTTGTTGAGGTGTGCAGGCTTCTCATTGCAGTGGTTTCTCTTGTTGCAGAGCACGGGCCCTAGGCGCGTGGTCTTCAGTAGTTGTGGCTCACGGGCTTAGTTGTTCTGCGGCATGTGGGATCTTCTCGGACCAGGGATCAAACCTGGGTCCCCTGCATTGGCAGGCGGATTCTTAACCACTGTGCCACCAGGGAAGTCCTCAAATACTTATAACCATATGAAAAAATGCTCACAATATAATGCTAAAAGAAAATAAAATGTATAGGTAAAATGATTAATTTTGCAGTTCAGTCCAGTTGTGGATGTACACATCGATTTGTAGAGAAAAGCACCCTGAACATAAATACTAACTTGTTAACAGTGGTTCTCTGGATTGTGTGGTGATGATTGATTTCTTATATATATTTTTTTCTTTTTCTGAGTTTCCCAAGTTTGTATCTATAATCAGGAAAAAGAATTATTTTTTAAATGAAAAGGTTTCATTTCTCATGATGGGAGCCAGCTTCTGTCGGAGGCTGATTTCAGAAGTGACCCCATAGTTATCCTCCTTATCACTGCCTGTGTGCACACTGATGCTTTCCAAGCCCTTCCCTGCTTTTCGCTGCCCTGAGTCCCACAGCATCTTTGACATGGGTGAGCCAGGGGAGCATTCCAGCCCCTCTCAGGAGACCAGCCGGGGGCTGGGGTATGCTTGCTGGGCAACCGAAGAGGGTACTTACCAGGTAAGGACCACGTGTCATGCTGCTCTTCAGTATTAGGAGCTCAGCGGGAGCCTCAGGAATTGGAGAGATCTTGCCTAGACACGAGGAGCACACTTATTAATTAATTCTGTCTAGAGGTGTTCATTAAGGGTGCCAGGTGAAGTTCCCACTCATTCCACGAACACTGTTACAGGTTGTAAGTTGAAGGAGCTGACTGATGGGGCTGAGAAGGCAAGTTTGGGACTAAGGCTTGCGGTTCTGAGAGAAGATAGCTCCATCTTGCTAGGTAGTTGCTTGGTAGGGGTTGGTAGTCAAGGTCTCACTAAAGGGCACTTCCTCTCTCTCTCTCTCTCTCTCTCTCTCTCCCTCCCTCCCCCCTCACCGTTTCTTCAGATGGAGGTGATTGTCGGGGACTTTGGGATCGTGGTGGTCCCCCGGGACGCAGCCGACACAGACCGAATCATGAATCACTCCTCAATACTCCGCAAATACAAAGTGAGTCCCCCATTCTCCCTGCTGGTGTAGTAATGTGATGTGGCCCTTCTCTGAGAAGCCTGCGGGCTGGAGAAGTGAGGATACAAAAGGAGTTTAGTGTGAGAGACTGGCTACCTACTGTCTCTGCTTTGTCCCCAGAACAACATCATGGTGGTAAAGGATGACATCAACCATCCCATGTCTGTCATCAGCTCAACCAAGAGCAGGTACGTTTGACAAACGACCAGAGAGACCTTGGTCAGACTGGCTTACAAGTTCCCATACAACTCTCCTCAGTCCAGGCTGACCGTTAGGTTGGCTGACACCTGCTGCCCCAGTATGCAGCCTTCTTTTTAGAGCTCATTTATTTGTCCCCAGTCATTGACTTTTAAAAGGGCGACAGGCCATTTATTAGTTTTAGCTGGTTTGAAGGAGGAAAAGGAGGTTTTTAGTTTGGACTCTAGTTTGAGGTACGCATGGAATTTGTAAGGGTTTAGGTTAAGCTGCCATAACAAAAAGACCCCCAATAGTTAGCGTTTTAAATAAGAGAAATGTTTATATCCCTCTAACTGAAGTCAGAAGAAACTGAATCTCTGTTCTTTTCAATGTGAAGCTTCCCTCTCAGGGTCCACAGCTGCTACAGTGACTGTTCTCAGCCAGTGGGAAAGGGCAAGGGGCTTTGTCCTTAAGAAGCTGACCCGAAGTTGCACATATCCCTTCCCCTTCATCCCCCTGGCTCAGCTTCAGTCCTGTGGCCATGCCTAGCCTCCAGGGAGGCTGGGAGTAGACTTTGTAACTTGTAACTGGGAGTAGACTTTGTAACTGGCAGCCATGTGTCCAACTAAATCTTGGGAGGTTGTAGTACTAAGCAGAAGAAAGAATGGATACTAGGGGCCAGTTAACAGTCTTCACCACAACCCCCAAGTGGGAATGTCCAGTGGAATAATAAGATGTGTGGAATATAGAGGTCTGGAAGTGTAATAAAACTGAAAGCCATGAGTACCTAAGTGTAAATTAAAGTTCAGGCCTGTGGCTACGCTCACAGGGAGAGTCAGCAAGAAGAGAAGAAGGCTATGGGGAATACTTAAAACACATTAACATTTAAAAGAAGGCTGAGGGGGCTTCCCTGGTGGCGCAGTGGTTGAGAGGCCGCCTGCCCATACAGGGGACACGGGTTCGTGCCCTGGTCCGGGAGGATCCCACATGTCGCAGAGGGGCGGGGCCGGTGAGCCATGGCCGCTGAGCTTGCGCATCCGGAGCCTGTGCTCCGCAGCGGGAGAGGCTACAGCAGCGAGAGGCCCGCGTACCGCAAAAAAAAAAAAAAAAAAAAAAAAAAAAAAAAAAAAAGGCTGAGGAGTAAATTAGAAGTTTGGGATTAAGATATACACACTACTATGTATAAAATAGATAACCAACAAGGATCTACTGTATAGCACAGGGAACTATACTAAATATTTTGTAACAGCCTACAAAGGAAAAGAACCTGAAAAAGAATAGATAGATATGTATGACTGAATCACTTCACTCTACACCTGAAGCTAACACAACATTGTAAATCAACTATACTTCAATTTTTAAAAAGTAATAAAAAAAAAAATAAAAGAGACGAAGGAGCAGTCAGAAACCACCAGCATTGGTGGCCCTGGAACAAAGGCAGCAGAGGGTACAAAGATGGAGAGTCCTGTCAATTGTCATCTGTGTCACATGTTTCAGAGAAATCAAATGAGCCCAGGATTTTAAAAGATCCACTGGACTTCTTCCCTGGAAGGTGATTATGTAGACACTTGAAATAGTAGCATCAACTGTGAGGTGAGAGCAGAAACCCAGTGACAACAACCAGTGAGGGGAAAGGGGAAGGCTGTGGTTCCAGCCACGGCTGCACAATAGAATTACCGTGAGAACTTACACAGCACAGATTCCCGTGTCCCATTGAGTCCCACTGAATCAGAATTTCTGGGTGTTGGGCCTGGCTATCTGCTTCCTGGGTGATTCTCGTGAAGCTGGGATTGGCATTTGGAAACCACAGTTATAGACCACTTTTTCAAGAAGGCTCCCTGTAAACTGTGCAGGGAGGCACTTGGGAACCTAGCTTGCTGGAAGGTCAGGACACTATGCATTGAAAAGGCACTGAGCCAGCCTCTGGGGAGATCTCACAACGCAGAGCACAGATGCCTTTTAGAATCTAGATATGCGGAGGAGTATATGAGTTCTTACAAATAGCTCCTTGGGGCCTGACATCCCCAAGACCATCATGCGCATAGAAAATGGGGAGCAGCCAGACCAAGTCTGGAGCAAAACCATGCGGAAACCAGACTGTATGACCAGACCCCTTCTGTACTTGGTAGTCCACCCGCCCCCCAGGGCTGGTGAGAAGGGCCTCAGAGAAGGGCAACTTCTTCTCTATCAGGGCTTCCATAGGAAGGAAAAGAAGGGGTCAATCATAAGGTTCATTTTCATGAGACCATGGTGTAGAGAAACCATTTTCATGAGACCATGGTGTAAAGAAATGAAATAAGAATAGCTAACACTTGCATTGAAAACCATTTTCACGAGACTATGGTGTAAAGAAATGAAATAAGAATAGCTAACACTTGCATTGAAATGCCTACTGTGTGCTTGGGCTTTTCTAAGTGCTTTGTGTAATGACTCATTTAATCATTTTAATAACTGAGATCGGCCCAAATACTACCCCCATTTTATAAACGAGAAAATGGAAGAATAGATGGGCTTAAACAACTTGCCCAAGGTTCCTCAGTTAGGAAGTGGCAGAGTTAGGATGGGGGAGGAATGATGGGGGCAGGAGGGCTTTTCCTGTTAGGGATGTCGTGTATTTAGCCTAAGCAAAGACTGGTAATGGGGTGTTGGGTAAACCCTTTCCCCGAAAGGGAATGGGCTGGCCTGTCCTCTGGCCTTGCTTCAGGAAAGGATGTCATCTGATTACTGTCTCTTCTCATCCAGGTTGGCCCTGCAGCATGGGGACGGCCATGTCGTGGATTACCTGTCCCAGCCGGTCATCGACTACATTCTGAAGAGCCAGCTGTACATCAACACCTCGGGCTAGCAGCCCCAGGGCCCTCTGCTCCAGTCTCCCCTCGTCCTCCACCAACACACTGGCCCCTGCAGCCTCTGTCCGTCCCATTTCTCTCCTGCCTCTCTGTTCCTCCATCTCATCTTGACTGTTGTCCCCACTTGCTGACTCAACCCCCCCACAGTGTGGAGGACCTGCAGAGAACCACGGCATACCCCACTCCGCAGTCATCTTCGGACAAACTTTCCTCTAGTCTCCGGGTTGGGGGTGGGTGAGGGGGTAGGGATAGGGGAAGTGCGGTCCTCGGAGATGCGCGGGTGTCCGTCTCCCAGCATGCTCTGGGGAGGTGGCTCCGGCCCTCGCCTTCCCAGCATGCCCTTTACCACAAAGGGCTATTTTTCTTTCTTTCTTTCTTTTCTTTCGTTTTTTTATGTTTTGTGTCGTTGTTGTTCACTCCTCAGAGAACTTGGATCCAATCAGTGTCCGTGGTTCTTTATGTTTGTAGTCTTGTTGCATTCCTGTGGTATTCCTTCCATTTTGATAGGATACCGCAGCCAGCCTCAGCTCTCAGAAGGTGCGTGTGGGCTACACCCGGTGAACGAGGCCGAGCCACCTCCACTTTCCCAACACCCTCACCCACCTACCCGCTTTCTCCCCTCTGCTGCCCACACACACCGCAGTCTGGGGTCGAGATTGAGACATTCATGTTCTGAAACCTGGGATGCAAGTCTGGGAATAGTAGGGTTTCTCAGAAGGATTTCAGCCCATTTCCCTAGTTTCAGAAGACCACGTTCCTGATGGGCCTGTGATCACACAGAGCCAGTCCCTTCTTTCTTGGTGGCATCTGTGCGGTTCCTTATTTGGGCTGTAACTTGTGACAGAATGTGGGTTGTTCTCTGCCAGCCCGGGCATTACCAAGGGACCTTCAGATCACCATCAAAGCCCTTGGAGGCCATACTTAGCCGCATTCTTGCATTTGAGAAGAATTACGCATTCTTGCATTTGAGAAGAATTACCTACCAAGGCCAAATCCTAATAATGCAGTCATTTCTGAAATAAAATATGCTAGGAATTCACTCAACCATAGAGATCTTTGCTCACTGGAATTACTTATTGCCTGTTTGGCTGGGAAATGCTTCTGTCATAATGTAAGTCCAGGATGACCTAGGAGAAAGCAGTCAGTTTCCCTGATGGGAACCGGTGATTCTCACCCACTCTAGCTTGGTAACACAGGCGGCGCCTGAGGTTAGTTCCTTTTAGAGAAGCAGAGCCTCAGCCTTGTTCCTGGGTTAGGATTACATCTTGTGCTGAGCCCAGCAGCCACAGTCATCGCCTCCTGGTGAGCGTGGGCTCCCAGAACAGAGATCTCGGGGGAGTGTCAAGAGCCGCTAAAGTGTTTCACCCCTTTTCTCCCTAATTTCCCACCTTCCTCTGCTGCCCTGGAAATAGTTTTGACAGACTCTGTTCTAGTTGTTCAGGCCTCGTTCATGACCTGCTTAAAGAACCAAAAGGAAATTACCGTCTTGTACTCTGTGTCCCTCATCTAGTCTCTGGCTCTTGGGTTTTTGGTTCTTTGAGGAATGGTCCCTGAACGGTAGGATAATTTTTTCAAAATCTAGTACCAACCCTGGCCCAGAAGGGGCCAGGTAGGATCTGACACCAGAAACAATGTTCTTCACCACACATTTCACATCTGTAACATCCTTCAATAGCCTCCAGGGAAAGAAACTAAATTCAACAGAAGAATAGCAAGGTGGGGTGGGGGAGGTGCTGTTCCTCTTGCATTATGGAAATAATCTCCAAAGGACAGAAGTGAGATCCTATTCTCAGGTCTCAGTGTTTGGATAAGGATCATGGAATCATAAACTGGAAAGATCTTTAGAGATTTGATGATCCAACCTTTCCTTTAAAGGATGAGGGAGCAGAGATCCACTGGATTAAATGGCTGGTCCAAGGTCACACAGCAAGTGTAGAGTCTGGCAAAAGGCTAGCGTCTCCCTGACCCCTTAGGTCATCACACCACATAGTCTCTGATCCTCTGGTTTCCCATGATACTGACCAGGTAAGATGTAGTTTTCAGCCTTTACCTGGCGTCTTTCTCTTATGTTTGTCTCAGGTGCTCCCTGTATATGGCCTTGTGTTTGCTAGTCCTGGGGGAGGGTGTGATGGTGAGGAAGGCCGTAGCTAGGTTTCCCTTAGAAACTGATAGCTGGAGATGGCAATGGCTTAGAGGAAATCTGAATCCAAGAAAGGATTGCTTTGTGGAAGACAAAGACCCTGAAAGTGCTCAAGATTGCATTAGTGCTGGAGAGAGAGTGACAGAAGTATCTTTGTCTAGGCAAGACAGTTGCAAGCCAGGAAACGAAACAAAGGAAATCAGGGAGCTGGATTCCCTGGGGGAACACGCATTTTCAAGGATATGGAGTTTATGGATAGAGTTTATTCTGAAGATCCACGTGAGCAGATCTGAGAAAGACCAGCTGTCTTTTGTCTCTTTGGCCCACTTTTCCTTTGCTGGGCTCTGTGGTCAAGCCCCATTTAGTCCACGACCCATGAGAGGAAACAGGGCTGGCTCTCGGCATTCAGTGGGGGAGGGGGGGAGGGGGAGGCAGAAGGCATGCTTGTAGGGAGAGTGAGATGAGCTGAAGAAAAGAATGCGAGCATAGAAGTAGATTTCTAGGAATGAAATGGGGCAGATTCTATCTTGATGAATCATAAGGATCATGTTAAAATAGCTTTTCTTTAATACCAGGAAAAGTGACTCCCCTTTTGGATGGAATTGTCCATTTCCTGCCCTGCCCCATTCTTCACTTGCTAGGGGGAGGTCAGAGCCCCTCTCTCAGTCCAGGGCAGGACACGATGACTGTGACCCAGCCAAGGCCAACACCAGAGAGATGATTCAGAGTTTGAAGTAGTGCCCCAGGTGCCAACAGGATGACCTCGAGACCCCAACTGCCACTCGGGTCCTGCTCCTTCCCAAAAAGGCCAACCCAAAGGCTCAGAGATCGTGAGAAGGGCACAGGCTAGAAAGATTGTGTCAAGAGGAGTCTGGAGCCTCATTTCCTGCCTACCAATAAAAATGTCCCTCCCACTTTTATGAAAGTGGCTGATAAGTAAGAACAGGCAGGAGGGAAACCCTTTGTGTCAATGACTCTCTTCTCAAGGAATGGCCCTTTGGGGGCAGGGGTCTGTGCTGCTAGCTGGTACCTCATTTGCCAACCCCCTTCCCTAACCCCAGGCAGCCTCTGGGGCCATCTTGCTTTCACTTTCCTTGAATATACATGGGAACAGGGGAGGAAAGTCTCTTACTGAAGTGCCTGAAACCCAGAACTAGAGCTTCTAGAGACGCTGTTCTTCCTGTCCCGGCTTGGCCAACCTTCCCCCAACGTTCCCTAGTCTCATGCTTCAGCTTCTCAGAAGGAATAAAAGAACATGATGTTGTAATTAAATTGAAAGCAAGACTCCATAACCAAACTACAGCAAAAGGCAGAGAATTACAGGGAGAAATGACTTGTATTTTAATAGCCCAAATCTATTCCCCCAAACAGACTCTCTCTCTCTCTCTCTCTCTCTCTCTAGAGGACTAAGAGAGAGAAGCATGTTATATTTTATTCATCAAAAGAGTAATGCAAAAATAAATCAGTAGAATATGAAAAGCTCAGGATCTCTCCCAAGGCTACGGCAGGAAAGCGGGCAGGTGAGATGGGAAGGATGGAAACAGGGATCGATTTTGTAGTTCATCCAATTTGGACACCTTAGGAATAGCATCGTGGTAAAGATGATGAACGTGCTCTGTCCACTTCATTTGGTCTGCGCCTTCCTATAGCTGCCCAGTAAACGCGATTCTTCACGTGGTTTCTTTGTTGTGTATGTTTGGAATGTCCTATTAGCCTGTAACAGTCAGTTAGGAATGAGTTACACTCTTTCCCTCCGCCTTCAGTCTAGGTCTGGGGCCCAGACCTCAGCTTGATCCAAGCAGTCTCAAGGATTGGCATGGGGAGGGGGAAGCTTTTTTGAATCACTTTTTGGTCCCTGAATCTGCCATTTTGAGAATAAGATTTGCTTTGGAAATCAACACATTAATAAAAACTACATTCAAGTTGCAACACCATCTCACAGTGAAATATTTTGAGTAAAATTTTGTTGCTAGAATAGTCACAGACAAAAGTTTTATCGGCAAAATGTTTCAATTACGTTAATAAATAAAATGATGCTACTAGTCTCGTGTCTTGGCCTAGAATCTTCTCTGTGATTTGCAGAATTAACCACTTTTTCTTCACAGTCTTACTTGACAGAAGCCAACAGTTGTTAAGCACGCTCTTAGAGCAGGAGATTCTCTGGCTGATATAGCTGATGCAGCATGTGTAATATGAAAGTATATACAACCACACCCATAAGCAGGGAAGAATAATTAGCAAATTTGTCAATTGTGCCTAAGTTTTCTCAGTTTTTTTAAAAAATCAAATCTTAGGTTCTACCTAATCTGCATAGTCTGGTCTTGGTTAGCTTTGGATCCTTAATGAAATTAGTGCTTTATGACTTAAAAATGTATTTGTGAAAATTAAAAACTTGGATAACTTGCTTCTTGACATAAAAGATCTCAAGTAAGACAGAAATTGTTAAACTCACAATTGGTTTTGTTTGGTAAAGTAAACAAGCCAAAACCGAATAAGTTAATTGTTCGATCCTGCTGTGACTGTTACTTTGTATTTAATTTTTAGTCGTGACATACATTATGCATGGGTTTAGGTGTAAATAGTGATAGTCCTTAGCTAATATCAGTCATGATTCAGTAGGTCAGATAACAATTCCCCATTCGGCCACCTCATTTAAGGCTCAGCTACTCGTTTGTCAGATGAGTTGTGTGAGGTTTTTAAAAATTATTTTGGTTCTTAGTATCTTTTTCTGTTTAAGAGTGAGACTAGTCAGCTTTGTGTGTATCCATGTGGGTTTGTTGGCATATCACGATGGCGTTTGATGTGCCTTATAAATTGATGGCTTGTATTTATGTTTGCTATTTTACTCGCAAAGCTAAACACTTTTTTCCTTCTCTCCTGAGACTACGTAAAGATGTGCTCTTGTTTAAAATTGGGTATAAACACTGGTTTATTTTGCTTACTTATACTAACTTATAAAATACATACACTACCTATGAATTAACATACATGTACATAGCACATTTTTTCCCTTATGACCCATAAGTAAGCTTCAGATCTTGGAATTTCCTGGAAAGTTCCATGTAGCCCATAGTATAAGGAAAGCAGAGAGAGAGAAAAAAAAATCTAATCTCTGCTTTCCAGGTGGGAAAATTGAACCACAGCAAGAATCCACAACATTCCCATGACCATATAAAACATTAAAAAAAGAAAGAGAAACATATTCCTGGTCCTTGAGACTTGGTCCAAACATTGGACATTACTGAGTATCATCTCACCCTTTTGTCCAGCCTCCTAAGAGTACTGAAAAAAAGGAATCACATCCTGGGATCAGATCAGAAATACATCTGCTAAAGAAATTAAAGATGATACAAACAGATGGAGAGAAATACCATGTTCTTGGATTGGAAGAATCAACAGTGTGAAAATGACTATACTACCCAAAGCAATCTACAGATTCAATGCAATCCCTATCAAACCACCAATGGCATTTTTCACAGAACTAGAACAAAAAATTGCACAATTTGTATGGAAACACAAAAGACCCAGAATAGCCAAAGCAATCTTAAGAAAAATGGAGCTGGAGGAATCAGGCTCCTGGACTTTAGACTATACTACAAAGCTACAGTAATCAAGACAGTATGGTACTGGCACAAAAGCAGAAATATAGGAACAGGATAGAAGGCCCAGAGATAAACCCATACACATATTGTCACCTTATCTTTGATAAAGATGGCAAGGGTATACAATGGAGAAAAGACAGCCTCTTCAATAAGTGGTGCTGGGAAAACTGGAGAGCTACATGTAAAAGAATGAAATTAGAACACTTCCTAACACCATACACAAAAACAAACTCAAAATGGATTAAAGGCCTAAATGTAAGGCCAGACACTATAAAACTCTTAGAGGAAAACGTAGGAAGAGCACTCTTTGACATAAATCACAGCAAGATCCTTTTTGACCCATCTCCTAGAGAAATGGAAGTAAAACAAAAACTAACAAATGCGACCTAATGAAAGTTAAAACCTTTTGCACAGCAAAGGAAACCATAAACAAGATGAAAAGACAACACTCAGAATGGGAGAAAATATTTGCAAATGAAGCAACTGACAAAGGATTAATCTCCAAATTATACAAGCAGCTTGTTCAGCTCAATATCAAAAAAACAAACAACCCAATCCAAAAATGAGCAGAAGACCTAAATAGACATTTCTCCAAAGAAGATATACAGATTGCTAACAAACACATGAAAAGATGCTCAACATCACTAATCATTAGAGAAATGCAAATCAAAACTACAATGAGGCATCACCTCACATCAGTCAGAATAGCCATCATCAAAAAATCAACAAACAAAATGAATGCTGGAGAGGGTGTGGAGAAAAGGGAACCCCCTTGCACTGTTGGTAGGAATGTAAATTGATACAACCACTATGGAGAACAGTATGGAAGTTCCTTAAAAAACTACAAATAGAACTACCATATGACCCAGCAATCCCACTACTGGGCATATACACTGAGAAAACCATAATTCAAAAAGGGACATGTACCACAATGTTCATTGCAGCACTATTTACAATAGCCAGGACGTGGAAGCAACCTAAGTGTCCATCGACAGATGAACGGATAAAGAAGATGTGGCATATATATAATGGAATATTACTCAGCCATAAAAAGAAACGAAATTGAGTTATTTGTAGCAAGGTGGATGGACCTAGAGACTGTCATACAGAGTGAAGTAAGTCAGAAAGAGAAAAAAAAATACCGTATGCTAACACATATGTATGGAATCTAAAAAAATAAAAAAGGTTCTGATGAACCTAGGGGCAGGACAGGAATAAAGACATAGACAGAGAATGAACTTGAGGACATGGGGAGGGGGATGGGTAAGGTGGGTGAAGTGAGAGAGTAACACTGACATATATACACTACCAAATGTAAAATCGATAGCTAGTGGGAAACAGCTGCATAGCACAGGGAGATCAGCTCTGTGCTTTGCGACCACGTAGAGGTGAGGGATAAGGAGGGTGGCAGGGAGATGCAAGAGGGAGGGGGTATGGGGATATACGTATGCACATAGCTGGTTCACTTTGTTATATACAGCAGAAACTAACACACCATTGTAAAGAAATTATACTCCAATAAAGGTGTTAAAAAAAATGAAAGAAATACATCTGCTAAGATGTTACAGTCTATGGGCAGTTTCATTTCTACCCACCTCTCCAAACAGAGATCCCCACGAGCCAAAGTAGATAATGATATGTGTGATAGCTTACCAGTGGCACAGTTAATCAGGCAACTCTCAGAGGAGAAGCACAAGAGAGTTGCCACTACAAATGATAAACACTGATAGAAACAGGAAGGAAAGTACCCTTAACTTGGCAGGTTCAGCTCAGGACTGGTAACAGAGTCTAAGTCCTGGGTAGGCTATTTCTAAGTCACACACCCCTTCTTTCTTCTTAGGGACAGTCTGCCACATCCTCAGAAATGAGCGAATCATTATTATACTAAGAGAGTCACATGAGTCACTTTTCCACTCCTCATCCCTACTTGGGGATCATTTCCTGTTTGTCAGGGAAGACATTTTTATGACTTCCTTAACAGTCTAACCCACTGATGAATCCTTTTATGATTACATGCATCTTGGTTATTAACTAATGGGATCCCCCACCAAGTTCTCTAAAGTTGCTACTACCTAATCCTACACTTGGCAGCAACAGATAGCCAGTGACTCATGATGCATGCTCCCCTTTCACAGTATAGAATTGTCAGAGAAGTGGCTTCCTGCCAAGGGACTGTATTTCCTAGACCCTTTGCCAGTAAGATGTGGTCATAATACTGGGTTCTGGACCACAGAATGTGAGAGAAAGTGATGTGCAGCCCCTCCCAGACCTGGCCCACAAAGACCTTCCATGTGTCTCTGTCTTCCATGTCTTTTTTCCCCTCCACCCCCTGGAATGGAGACGGTGCAGAGGGCAACCTGAGAAGTCACATGGTGGTAGGGCCTCTGGAAATGACTATGTGGAGGGCTACTGTGCCAACTTTCTCCACATCCAGTACGCCATGAGGGCAAGAAGAAAGTCTGTCGTGAGGGAGTTACGCATATTTTTAGGTCGTGTGAGATAGTAGTTAATGTAAGCGAATTTGTAACATATGTGATTGCGTATTCCAAGACAGGATTACAAATGCACTTTCAGAGAAGGTAAAGCATAGTGATCAGATCGGTCAGAATTTGGGGGGGGCCGGTCAGTGTAGGCAGAAGCAGAATCCTTTCCTCAGCCACTTGGGTAGATGGCCAATTCAGGATCTTAATTTATTAAATTTTAGTTTATTAAAACGCAGGATAATGTACCACAAACTATTGATTTTACCTTTATTTTAGAGCTGATGCAAAAAAAGACAAAAATATTGATTATCACCCCCGCCCTGCTCAGGTTGTTCCAGAAATAAATCCTCCTTTATACTTAGAAGACAGCACCCGTTAAATCTCATAAAGCGTGTGCATGGTTAGAAAGGGCAAAACAAGATGCTCAGAAAAAGGAATTAGAGATGTTAATTCTAGGGCTCATTGCTCTTTCTGAAGCATTCTTTGTTGTCATTGCTTTGGTACCTACACCTTAAGCTTAGAGTTTAACAAATTAGAAACTGGCCACGGGCATCTAAGAATTGTTCTTTATTTAAAAACATGTCCATGAAAAGCCAAGGAAATACAGAGGTGAGGCAGCACCAAAGCCTTCTGAGCCGTGGTTGGAAGTGCTTCTGGTTTTTCCAGAAATTCCCACTGGTGTTATGACTCAACAATGTGTCGCAATCAGTGGAGGAAAGGGACAGAGCGACAGCTGAAATGCAAAGAAGTGTGCACAACCCAGAGCCGTTTCAGCTATTTACCGAAATCCAAGTCCCCCATGGGATGTCTTGCAACACATGTTCTGTTGAGAAAAAGAGGTTGCAAACCATGGGGTTATTGCAATAAACACCACTTGTGATGAACAGGATTTGTAAGTTTACATTTTTTTCAAGGTTTGTTTTCCTCACTATTCAATCAACTCTATGAGGACAGAGA